CACCACTTGTGGTCACCATTTTGTGGAGGAAGTGCTTCACGAGTATCTCCTTCTGGCCGAAGAACACCACTCTTTGCCATTCGCTGCAAACGCTCTCCAATCGGAACCGATCGCCGAATGACAGGAAAGACAGCAACAGTTCCGTCAGGTCTTCGCCGAAGCGATCGAATGAGTCTTTGGTCACCATTTGATCCGTTGGGTCGACGCTATCGGCCGCTGAAGACTAGTATCAGCTCTTTGTTGTCATCGAGTGTTGACTGTATGGACACAACAGCTGACTGTTGTCGCCGTCTATTGTCTCTCTCTTTCAAACCAATGGCAAAAAGTTATGAAACATATGAATTGGTTTTGAATACTTATAATTAATTATTAATGATTACAATTCAATTACACGTGTTATTAATTAATGTTTTAATTATGTTTCAAATTAAAAGTCCGCAAATGTTTTATAAAATTTAATTAATTTGTTTGTTTAAAATAAAGCATTTATTTAAAACTAAATAAATTGTGTTTATGTTAGAATTTTTTATTATATGAACTTTGTAAACTGTTATTAAAATAATTATTAATTAAATTGTTTATTTCATTGTAATAAATAATATAAAGTATTGTATAAATAGTTTTAATTTTATTAAATATTATTTGTATTTTTTTGTAATAAATGTGAAAATGTTATTTGAATTTACAAATAATATTTACTAAATTTTCAGAAATAATAGAAACTTATATTAAATTAATTTTAAGATAAAAATATTTGTACAATAAATATTTTTTATTAACTTTACTTTATGTTTTGCTGCTATGAAATTATTTGCTAATGAAATTACTTGATTGATTTTCTTAAATACACATTACAATTAATCAAATATAGTCTATCTAAATGTATAATGTAAATACGGTAAAGTGCAGAATATAAAGTACATCTTTTAGGTAAAGTACCTAAAAGTCTTTTCAATAGTTGTATCTACTTTACAACTAAATGTAGACAATAGACTCTTTATTATAGAATATAAAATTAATTAAAAGTAAACTAATCCACAAATTATTAAAATGATTCTAACTTGGTTAAAATCATCGTACATGATGCGATTCTTATACAAAACATTATGTTTGGGTCTGTGTTTGTGGCAAATTATAAGTATTAGTGAAATATATTTTACGTATAAAACGGTTATTTCAATTGATTATCTCAATATATCTGAGATATCTTTGCCGGGGATTAGTATATGTCTGCCAAAGATTTATCTCTTAAAAGATGAATATTATAGTAAATTAGGGATTAATAAAAGCACACAAATGGCTAATTATGAAATGACATTTAAACGCATTAATTCCCTTACAATTGAACAACAATTTAAAGCTTTTCATCCCATGAATTGGTTTTTCGTGAGCGGCTGTTCTGTGTTGAGGCCAATCACTAGTGATTCTTCTCGTGATTATATTGATTGCAATGCGATTTCGCCAATCAATCAAACTATTGATTACTATAACATGTGTTATACACTATTAATTCAACACAACAATTCATTAACGGATAATCAATTTACTATTTCCTATACCGAGCATATGTTTAAGGATTTCACACAAGATATGGTACTAATTTCAATCAATCCAACCATTCCTTCGGTTCATCTTATTTTTCATTCACGAAAAGAAGTCTATAAAAGAGCGAATGTCATCAAAGATAGCGTTGAGTATGAGTTTAGCAGTAATTACTACTCTTATCTTCACTATCGAAAGACAAGTACCTATTCTTTGCCCAAACCATACAAAACTGATTGTTTTGATTACAACACTATTGGCTATAATTCTAATGAGGAATGTATTGTCGACTGCAGACTAACAGAGATGTTGAAAGTGTTGGACGAATGGCCCGGAAATATGCCGACAAATAATTGGACCGATAAACGGAAAATGGTAAATATTCTGCTTGATTACTATCACCAAAATAAAACAATGGATAGAAATATTGGTAAAATTTGTCAAAATAAATGCAAATCACATATTAATTGCTTTTCGGAAACCTATGAATTAAAGTTAAACAGAATTAAGTACCAAGACTCTATTAAGAAGTGGATAATCATTGAACCTCCGATACTACCCGACCAACAGATTACATACTCACCGGCGATGTTAATGACTGAGTTTATCACATATATTGGCAGTACTATTAGCCTATGGTTTGGTTTCTCATTTGTTATGCTATCAGATGTCTGTCCTATGGTTTACTCATTTCTCATTCGTGTTCTTTATGTGAAATTTGCTCTGAATTTTAAGTCATATTTTAATAACAAAATTTCGATCAAGATTTTAAAAAAATCAAACAAAATTCTGGCAAATTCTTGCAATGCTAAGCAAAGTTTGAACCAAGATGTTCAAATTTAACTATAAATACTATTAGAATTCATAGAATCAATGTAAGTACTGCTAGAAATATGATTATGCAATTTAACTTAATTGTCAATTAAAGTGAAAATGCAACATATTTCTTTTCAGTATCTAGACTAAGTCCAGTCAAAAATTACACCTCACTGCTCCTCACATCTAACCCTTGTGTTGTAATTTATACATATAATATTTATAATATATATATTCTATAAATATTTTTAATAATAATTTATAAATATAATTTTCTTATGTATTTCATTTGTATTATCAATTGACATTATTATTTCAACTATCAAGTAAAATAAATTGATAATTTAATATGTAATTATTATTTAGTTTGCCGTATTTATTTGTAATTTATTAACAAAGTTATTTATTGTAACAAACTAATTGTAACACTTTCAATTATTTGCAATTGTATTATTAATAAACTGAGTTCTATCTCTAAATTAATATCTATAATTGATTAAATTTACTCTTATGTCAAAAAACATGAGACAAATAAATATAAAAATATTTATCATTAAGTGATTTGTAAATTAAATGCATTTCTTGTAGTAAAGGGTTATTTAATTTTAAAAAATAATGTATTAATTTAAGGTTAAATCTAAGCCTTTAAGTACGACTACATTGTAATTGCCGACCAAATAAATGAGCAATGTTTTCTTAAAATTGTTTATAAACTTCATATTTTTAATAATTATTATAAATTAAACATCATATTTATATAAAATCCCATTTCTATAATCAAAAATAACTGAATAATATTAAAAATATTTTGTTTTAAAATTAAATACATTAGTTGCTGTGAAAAGTGATCAATCTTAATGCATTTATATTTATGTAATAACTATTTAATATTTATTTAACACAATGGTTTGCAACAAAAATTAAATTATTTTATTGACAACTAAATAACACAATTAAAAGTTTATAGTATATTTCAAATATACTGTACAATAAGTGCTTTAAATATTTTTAATAACAGAGACCATTAGGAAATTGCAATTAATAACTAACTAGAGTATATTTTAATTGACTATTTAATATAATTGACTAAATTGACCAAGGCGAACGAGTTTAAGCGGCACAACAGGCGCAATTACCACCGACTTGACAACACTGGGGGTTTGCGCCATCGCAACAGTAGATGGACTCGCAGGGGGCCCCACATGTCCAACAGTCGTTGGTTTTTAAGGCAAAGTTTGTTACGTTAACACCTATTAAACCATTAATAAATATATTAAATTATTATTAGTTTTAATTAATTGCATTAGAGTAGTAAAAATGTGTACTGACCCGGCTTTACGCTATCAAACTTAAGGTTGTGAATGTCTTTGAGAGCGGTTTTCTGGTACTTCTCGTTGTTTGCGGTCACACCTGATAGATATGTTCATTGAATGTTAGTTTTATTTTATGACATTTTAATGATTTGAGATATGAATGAACGCAAAGTATGAGTTAATACATACCGACGGCGACCACAATGAGGACAGCGAAAGCAACAATCATTGAACGCATGTTTAAAAGTTTTTTTTAAAGTGTTTAAAGTTTTAATTGCAAACTTAATAGTTGTTTAACAATACTGTTTTAACAAGTGTTTACTCAATCTCTTATATACTGTTAAATAGAGTGTTATCGACAAACGTAATGAAATTATCATTTTATAACTTCCACTTAAGATTAAAATTATTATTATTTTGAAGCGTTTTATTATTACACACGAATTGTTTAGCTCTTATCACATATTATTCAATATTTCAATTCATATTATAATGTATGAAATATAAGGATTATTTAAATGTATTATCTAATATACATCTATAATTATAAGTAGTTTTCGCGTGAATTCAAAATTGTTAATCATATGAGAGATATTAGACAATAGTTTTGCAATATTTAATCTCTATTAAAGGGTTTCCATTTCAATGTAATATACAAAATAATTTACAAAATAAGTGTTTTAAATAAATTGTAAAAATTCATACATGGAGATAATGTTTGAAAGTCTTATTATAATGTCAACTATTAAGGTAATATTATACTATTGCGCTAAACCAGTATGTACAGGGTTCTCGAATTAGCTGCTAACTTAACTACAAAGATTATACATTAGGTTTCTATGTAATTACTGCAATTACTCAAATGATAATTCTATCAAGAGCAAAATACCATAGCCAAAGACATAAAATTAAGGTGCGTTGTAATCATCACGTTAAAAAATTTAAAAAAGGGAAAGCTATGACCACTTTTGTAAACATACGGCGGAACAATACGGTGTATAGCATTGAGATATAGGTTTTTTCAACTGCACGACTAATCACCAAAATTTTATACTAGAAACAGTATATTCATGTTTACAAAAGTGGTCATAACTTTTCCGCTTCTGGCCATTGGCCTATTTTGACTGTTGAATATATGTGAAACACCCGTATTAGATCTAACCATGGCAAGATAATGACCAAATTGCCACATCTTGTACATTTTTTTAATCAATAATAAAATTATTTATACATTTAAACGCACTGTAAAAATGATGTTAATATCATGAGCTCATGTGCGCTTTTATACAGTGAATAGTATTTTGTTCTTAATAGAAGTATACTTAATAAAGTACCTGCAGCTAATTGCATGCTTAAAGAAAATAACATGTTATTTCGTGATATTATCAATAATTGTTGATAACTTAATATTTTGTTTTTTGATTGAAATACACGTATTTTAGTTTCAAAATACTTGCGATTCGGACCATAATATAGTCAAAAAAAACTAAAGACTCAAATGAGAGCACTCTTTACAAGATATGAAGGAAAACAAACCAAATCATTATCCAATGCCAAAAACCAATTCAATTCATTGATTTAAATTTATTGTTATTAATTGTGTAAAGAATATTAATTAAATCACCATCAATGAATCATTGACAATGATGACAATCATTTTAATAATTATTCGTTGAAGAAATGATTGTAATTTTTATAACATATTACCTTTATTTGATAACAAGGATATAATTATAATTAATTACTTATTAATATTAATTTGTTACTTCTCAATTATAAGTAAAATCACATAATTGTATTATCTTTAAAATAGCGATTTTTTATTATTAATTATAAGTTTAATAACATTTTAAATTTCACAAAATATTAAAGCAATTTTATATAAATTAATTAAAATTATATATTTTATAAATTACTTTGTAAACCAGGTAATAAAAATTGATTTAATTTGATAATAAATATGTAAACAATTAATGTCTTTCACGAAGAAATTGATATGAAATGCAAATAATTTATTATTGCAATAATTACACATTTAATCAATAATTTTCCACAAATATCACAATATAAACAACTTTTTTTTATTACCCTCATGAATGATAACTAAATTTTATATATAAATATTATATAACTTGCGATAAGACTTACAATAAAAAAAATATTTGTTAATTTGTAATTAATAAACAGTTTAATCAAGATATTATAAGAAAAATGCAAAATATTCAAAATATATTCAAAATATTTATTTAAAAACTACTGAAATAATTTAAATGCATGCTATCATTGATATATTACAGTTAGACTATGGTCATTTTGTATTACAGTAGTCAGCAGAAATTCTCTGGAAATATGAAATAATATCAAATTAATTACATGTTTATTCATAAAAAGCTATAAAAATAATTACATATTGGGTAAACAGGATTTACTATATTTGTATTTAAAGTCAATAGTAGTTATTATTCCGGCATTTATTGACTTAATAGGCTGTTTAACTCACAACACAATCATTTAAGGGGACAATAATTTCCTATTTATCTGTTTAAAGAGTTATATAAATAAGGATTTGTTTCGCGACTATAAATAAAGACAACATTTAGTTTTTCTAACTAATAAAGTTTACACTTTTAATATAAACAATGAAACGATTTCTACTGTTAGCGAACCCGAGGACTGGATCCACATATTTGGCCAATTTATTGAGAAGCCATCCCGATATAGGACTCGCCGGTGAACTACTCAATGATGAGCGCAATCTTCCTGACGATGTCCTCCAATACTGTGGCCAAGAATTGTCTAAATTTGAGCAGAAATTTGTTGGCTTTAAGGTATTTCCCGAACAAATCTTCAAACGTAAGTTACGTTTCGATGAATTGGTCCGACATTTGGGCGCAGATGTGGTGATAGTGTTGTGGAGGAAATCCATTGCCGAACAGTTGGCTTCACTCAGAATTGCAGAAAAGACTGGCGTCTGGTTTGAAGGCGCGGAAGACTTCAACAACAATCGCAAGAATGGCCTAAAAGTAAAGACAAGTATTTCAGACCAAGAAATGAGAGAATATCACGAGTTTCTGGTAAAAGATTGGCAAACAATTGGCAGTCAATGGCCTATAGATATAATCCCGATATATGTCTGTTACGACGATCTGATTGAGGATCCGTTGACACAATTGCGTCAAATCATGGCTCGTTTGAGTTGTGATATGGAAACCTATGTCTTCACGAGTCCCGGAGCCGTCAAACCACCGGTTCCGCCATCGGATAGAATCGAAAATTGGCCGCAAATAAGCGATGAATTAAAAGGTATGAAAATCAATGCGAAAAAACTACTGAAAGATTGCATCGAGAAAAACCTGAACGTGAAATGTCAAGCCCTGGACTTTGTTCCCGATCCCGAGCCCCCGATGCCATCAAAGGGCTGGCGATATAACGTTTGCGCGCCTTTTATGCCTAATGAGGCCAAAGACAATGTAATCCAAGCGCTGGTCTCGGGTTCGGTATCTTCGGCCGGTTTTTGGCCCAAAGAAATGGCCGATAAGTTGCGTAAAGTATACGACTGTCCGGTGGCTCAGCCGTGTAGTAATGGCTTCACATCTTTGGTGATAGCAATGCAAGCCATGAGTTTGAGAAGCGGTGATGAAGTTATTATGCCTTCACTAACGATGATAGCGGTTCCCAATGCGGTCGCACTCTTGGGAGCCGTACCTGTATTTGCCGACTGCGCTGACGGGCAGTACAATCCCGGACTCAACGAAATATTGGATGTCTCTTCAGGTTTGTCTCAATTTTGTTTTACTATATTCTTACAAATTATATCACCATTTATTTATGCTATAAAAATTAGACTAAACACTGTATATAACAAGTATATAACACTGTAATCATAATACCGTATGAAGTTTATAACTTTTTCCTGTTTGTTAAAATAGAAAAACCGTAATATTATTTTTAATGTAATTGATAGTCAATAGTAAAACTAGCTTGTGTAATTGAACTTCAATTATTGAATCAATAACTCATTAATTTGATAATTTATTTTAAAAATAATTAAATTTTTGTGTAAATATATGTCTAGAGAGGACGCGTGCAGTTGTGTTGACGCATACCTATGGAGTGCCGACCGAACACTTGGAGAGCATTGCAAACGAATGCAAAGCCAGGAAATGGACTCTAATTGAAGACATCAGTGAATGCGTTGGCGTAAGAGTGCGGACAGAGAGCGGCGAAA